CGTTAAAGTATTTTCCTCAGGTATGAATGCATGGTACTGCGTTGTACGATTTATCGAATATCATTGTCAGCGTTGTCTGTATTTTAAAATAGTACGGCGGAAGATACGTAACAATTTCGTTCTTCTGATGGTTTGTTATCTTGAGTTTATTCAATTTTGTGCAGGCGTACAATTTATTAATAGTTATTAGTGAGCAGCTTTTATTTTTGATCTGTTTGTTTATACGTTAGTCATGTAAAGGTGGTATATAAATATTTCATACAAAAATAACAGTACACTCTTCTTTTTTTTATCTCTTGCATATTTATGTCAGCGAAGGGTTGCAGTAAAAGGGTCTTGCTGAGCTTATTCTCATGTAGTAACTAAATGAGGTGTAATTAACGAATACATTATCTCGGCATATTTATAGCCTAGGCCTTTTTAAAGCAATGATAAAGTATCTGCGTCAAGAATGCTAGACGTAAACAAACCTACGAGGTGTTCTGTTTAACGTTGGTGGCTGATCCTCGAGATTTTTGAATAGAGATATTATTCAGACGGGGGAAAAAATTGATAAGGTGTGATATTGAATACATGGGTGAATGTAAGAAACCACGCCGACCGAATTAGACAGATTAGATGCTTAAAAAGTTAATGTCTATACCGATCGAGTTAGTTATCTAAGCAGTTCGTAATTGGAAAGTTCAGTTGCGGGTTATTACTTTGAAGGGCTAGCGATTTTATTAATATATACCTACCCGTTCTAAGAAGGAAAAAAAAGTCATTTGTAGAATAAGCAACGATTTTTCGCATTGTATTGTTTTGTACCTTATTGCATTACGTGGATTTAATCATTCTGTATTGTTATGTGATAATGTGTTTTCATGTTGCAACAAAATACGCTGATCCTTGAACTACTAGGAATTTCTACTGATTAACATATTTGAAATGTAGTATATATATATGGAGCAACTGTAAATGTAACCCTTTGTAGTCAGATACTTACCTGAATGTTGATAGTTTTTTTGTATATAAATATTTAGCTGTCTTTAGATTGATTGGCAAAACTTGAAAATTATCAGTATCTAATACTTTCATTACCGTTGCCAGTAAAGGGAGGATGAAAACATAGAGCTCTGTGTGCAGTTGGTGACTCTGTTTGCTGGATCACATTTTTTATTTTCATTTGGTGTTTTAAATAATTTTAAATCCAAGATTCCTTATGCTAAATTCATGTAAATGTCTAAAGTCTAACTAAAGAAGCCATTCGTGAGTAAGAATTTTGTACTTTTGATTGTTAACGATCGAATCCTTTCCAAAAAAAATCGTTATTTGTATAAAATTGAAAGATTTGTCTTTGCTTTGAGAAAGATAGTCAAGAAATTGTAGCACCCAAAACAGACTGGCTGAATAAAGTATAAAATTAATGTATAATCTCTGTAATCTCGCAGTCATAACATCTATTGAACTTTTTTAAATTTAAGTATGGCCAAGTAAAACACTGTTTGAAATATTTTATCCATTCTATCCAATCTTGATGAATTTCTTTTATGAAACTTTTCCTACTTACATTTCCCATGCAAAACATTAACAGTGCCAACCAATTTCCCCTTTGTATGTAGTTGTACTTGTTCTACCGTTTTTGCTAAATATCTTTCTTGATTTTTAATCGAATTAGTTGATAATTTGCACTGGGTATACTGTATTATGTGGACACCTGTACACTCCCATAAAAAACATTTTTCTTTCTTTTAGTTATACTAACGATGGTGAACGATAGTGTTGTTATAACGTTAACATTGAGAAAATTCAATTTTATTCACAACTGAAATAAATAGAAGTAGTAGAAAGAATACAGTCCAAATTCGACGCTATAAATAAAATTGTCCGATGTGTCAAAGAAATGTTTAATAAGAAAGTGATACTTTCGTCCAACAATACACACGTATGTGACATTTTTAAGTTAAATTAAACAGTTTTACCGTTATAACAATACACATGTACGTTTGGAGTTAATAATTGTAACCTTGTCAGTAACATTGTGATACGTTGATACGCCACCCTACAATACTAAATTGACAAACGACTAGATCATTATCCCCAATTAGACAATAGAAGATGTAAACTAACTACTACTACTTTATTGTAACTAAAAAAAATATGTGACATATGCAAACAACTTTTGAGCGAAATCAAGTGTTGTCTTATTTTTTCTTCTTAATCTATGCTAATTTTTGGGAATTTGTGTACAGAGATGGGAGTGATCGATAATATATGGTTACAGGAACCCCTCTAGTCAAAGGTCTGACTCCGGTTTTAATTCTTGGTAAAATACATACTTGTGCTTATCGATCCGTTGATGGAATTGTTCAATTAATTCTAATTATTGTTTTACTTGTTTCTTTTCTTGAAACTTGATGTTAAGCAAAATTGATAAACGAAAATTAAAGTGGAATTTGTGAATAAGATAGGGTGTTTATTATAACTTACAAAATGTAAATATTTAGTTCCTGATAAGGTGGTAACTTGGAAATTATTTTCTTCGTATTCGTAGGCTTCATGCCACACATTAGACGCTGAAGTATGAGTTTAGTTTTGATTACAATGTGTAATCAACACTTACACACGATATATTTAGCTGTTTTTAATTTATGTATTACGAATACTTATCAAACCTGCCGAATGAATTTCCATCCAACAACATACATAATTTTTAAATCATAATGGAGCATATCGTTAGGAATAGAGAAATTACAGTAAATATCAATAACACTTGTTCTTTGTACATAAGTTGTCTCTTTATCGAATGTTGTAATGACAAAGTATGGGTTCTTCGAGAAAATGTCCCATTTTTTTCTTTGTTTGTTTCTAATAATTTTTCTGGGATTAAAATGCGAAAAAATTACTGTGGATGGTCTTTTGAGAACTTATTTGTGTTCCATTATCATTATACACATGATAGCATAGTTTAAAAAAATCATCAATAGCACAAACAAGAGAAACAAACATTAATTGGATTGTTCAAAAAATGTGTTATCGTAACAGCTATATAAAATAAACCCTTTGAAACTTTCGATCGAAGTAAAATCGATCGAAGTAAAACCTGTTATCTGTCCTATTTCAACTAAAAATGTTCCGAAAACCCGTTTTGAACATACTCAAATCGTCCAATTAATTTACCGATTTGATGAAATACTAAAAAAAATATTTCTTTTTTTGCATTGATGTTGTCGTTCTAAAGTTTGGTATCACTGGGCCCTCCGTGCGATTACATTTTTTTTACTTATACGTTATATATGTTTTGACCTTTCAAGGTCACAGCGCGTCATTATAAGCGATATCAGCATCATTTGATTACTTATTAGTATGCTTTAAATTTCAAAGCTCTAGCACTTCCAAAGGTGAAGGGACGATGACTTTGAAACCGTATTGTATATGTATATATTATCTATGACAGAATTTTAGGGAAGGTTAAGTCCTAGAAAATTCTTAATTTTCAAGTGAACGAAAATGAAAGCACTTAAACTTGAAACTTTTTATTGTGTCTACCAAAGATGCAACACACAACACAAAACACAATTAACAAGCAAAAAATTTGCTAATTTATTACACAGCCCGTTGAAAAGTTATTTAACGTACCTGAGAGTTTCCATCAATTTCAATTACATGATGGGAAATTGATAATGAATATATGTACTACCTAGGTAATTCTTAGTGTTGTGGAAAATGCAGTGTATTACAAAACAAATTGATAAATAAATTTCTTATGAAAATTCGTAAAAGCACTTCGATATTTAAAACCACATGTTCAGAGAAAGTTTGAAATTTGTGGGAAATGCTGTAAAAAAAAACCTCATGTGAATGAAGTGAAATTCCTGAAAAAGGTAGTAAGTAAAGGCAAAAAACATTGTGTTAAAAATTTAACACGGTCGAATATTTTAAATAATTTTTCACACGAGCCATGTTCTACCAAAAAAAATTGCTATTTATGTATTAATGTAGCTTTTTAAATGTTGTTAAAATTACAAAATTATTTTGTAGGGTGTAAAAATGTGACCTCTTGTCACGAGTACGATTGTTCAATAAAATATCGATGACGACACAGCCATCACAATTTTTCAAAATATATACCGTATGGAAATCGGTTGACGTATTTGATTGTTTTTCGAATTTTATTTATGTTTTGGTTTTTAATGTGTAGTGTTTGTACTATGTTGCAGTATCCATTTTTTTTTTTTTATAAATATGGATGTCATCATAAGTTTCACGGCACGAACCGCATAATTTATTTATTTCTAAAGTTGAGTCTGTGTGAAAAAAATTCATTTGTTGGACGGTTGTCGAAGTTATCTCCTGAATTTTTTTTTTGACGATGGTTGCCATACTATGTAAATACATACTATGTATCTATATACTTTGTATCCATTAATCCTGGCTTGTTAAAATTGTCCATTATTTTATGTTACTTACTGAAAGTGTCAGACTTTTGTACACGCCAAGTCAAAGGCGAGTTGTTCAACAAAGCTTGTTAGCATAAGCATAAAGGAATGCGTAAAATAATGCAGTAGGTTGGCGAAAGTCTTTCGGATATTCGAAACTATACAACAGTGTCAAGGTAAAAAAGGAAAATGCAAATTGAACACGAAGTTTGAAGGGATCGTTACTGTCGAACCATTGTTGTCAAGAAAATTTCCACAAAATGCGTTGTTGTTCGCCTAACAATGGCATAACAATTTCAATACAACAAGCTACTGCTGTGTAGACAATTTCATTTCATCCGGATTGACATATTTTGTTGAGAAGTAATCAAAACAACTTGTTTAGAACTCGTATAAGTGAACTTACTTCTTTCCCACGGCCGAACAGACCAAAACGACGACTTCCTAGCGGTAACCCTCAAAGAACGAGGGCGGGAGTCCGAGCGGAACAACCCTTCCGTTTTCGGACACACATTATGCAAAAGTCGAACACGCAAACCGGAAGCTATTTTATCATATTAACTACATTTTTCTCTTTTCCAGACGTCGATGCACGGCAATACCAACGACCGCAGAGCCCTCGAAAGAGAGGCTCTGCGAAACGTCATCAACCAATGGAACGCCAATCGACTGGATCTTTTCGAATTATCCGAACCAAATGAGGTAAACTATAACTTGCTGTTTTGGTATGGGGTTACAGTACTTAAAGGTGTTTAACACTTTGTGACAATGGAATGACATTGATGTCCAATATTTTCTGGCGGTAATTATATGCATAAGTGGAACCGCAAACAAATGTATGTGTACATTATTGTGTAGAACTGCATCTACTTCTAAATGTTTCTCTACGGCATTGCTTTTTTTGTGGAAATTGACAAGATAGAAAATTACCGTGTATAGGACCTAAATACATTGTTTTTATGCAAGAAGCTGTTTTAATGTCACAAGAATGTTCAATAAGTTCAGTTATTCAATATGGTTGGTTGAATTTGGACAATAAGCTGTAGGTACTTCCTCGGGCTGGGTCCAGTCAACCGACCATATCTCCCGTTTCACATATCGTTATCCTTACTGGGGCGAGGCCTTCTTGGATTTAATAATCATTGACCCATTCTTGAGATTGATGACCCAAACAGGTGTGTTAATAAGGGCTTTATTGTAGCGACTGAAGTTTGTATGTATTATATTACTCTTTGATTAATAAAAATATTTGGTGTGTTGTATTTGTTTCTGCCCAAGTTTATATTAGACAGATTAGAATTAATCAAATCTGTTTGAAGGTGCAGATTGATATGATAACAGTTAAATCAATTTTATTTTTTCTTATTCTGGACATTTATTTCGCATGACTTTTAATTAAACTTGTTTACTATCAGAACCTTTTAGCATTGGTTTTTAATAATCGCAGTAATTATTTCCAAAAATTGATGTTAAAAATATTCTTTTAAGTATTTCAGTCTTAAATTGGTCCCACTTGATGTTAATTCTAAGCAATTTTACGGGTTCAGTCGAATCATTTCAATTGATTACATCTCCGGTATTATACAAAATCACTTCAGAGGGCAAGTCGATCTAAATTGAGGTAAATTTAATGATTCTAGTCAGTTTAACTAAAACAACTCTGATTTTTATTTTGCTTCTACGAGGCTTATGCTTATAAAAACTCTGTATAATAAATATCGGCCTAATTTTTGTTTAAGTTTATTTTGATCGGTGTTATTAAAGTGATTATAATGTTGAATACAGTTGGCCATTTGTAAACCGAAAGTGCGTTTTTTGTGCCTTATGTTTTGTGTACTTATGTAATAATTGCATAAAATTTGTAAACATAAATATTAATACACGGCGGTAATTTTTTTGTGGGTGTTTTGGTGCTATACAGCTAGATGATCTTTGGACTATTGACGTTTGGATAATTGGTTATTGATAGGTGTTTTGAAGCAAATTGTCTGTGGATAAAATCTATAAAAGATTATAAAAATTGAAAAAAGTTTTGTAGTGGAAAATTAAGTTTGTAATTTACATTTTGGAGATATTTTTCTCGCCGTTTCTAATTGTTGATGTATAAAATTTTATTAGTTAACATTTGAATGCGTTTGTCGTATGTCGCTATTACGATCTTCGAAACCGTGAATACATATTATGATTTTTGTGAAAAATTGAACATGCTGCTTTTTGATGTGGATCAATATTTCCCATTATTTAAATAATTTTGAAATATACATAGTTTCAAATAGTGTCTAAAAGGATAATAAATTTTAAGATCAACCTTTTTTTTGCTACTTAGTGATCTGCAGGAAATTTGTTGATTATATGATAATTCCTACAAAACTTCAACTAAAACATTTGATTAAAGAAAAATGCCTCAAAAAATGTACTACCAAAAAAACTGACGAATATATTGTTAAGTTATTACTTATTACAAATTAATAAGAATATAATAAACAATACAAGAAAGAGTTTTAAACCCAGCTGAAAGATCTCTTTGATGTAGTTGTAGAATGTAAAGTACAAATTAATTTTCGCGTATGAGGAATATGAAATTATTTTAACATTGAAAGTTCCGTGTTTGTTACGAAAGAAACCCGCTGCCTCAGTGCGACGCCTATGGGTTCTAGTATGTACGGCGATTATAGGTGACTCATCGGTAACGGTGGCCGGGCGGCATTCGCTAAAGAAAAGCCCGGAAGTGGAAGTCGCGATGGGTATTCCAGAAAGACCTCGATCACGGAACATCTAGAAGGAAAGTATGGGTTTAAATAGAGGCCACCTTCGGGAACGATTATTATTGAGTCAACGAGTCGTGTTCAGTCAAGACAGAGTCAAGTCAAATTGCGCCTGAATTATTTTTTGTACCTAATCGCTGTGGTATTAGTCGCGTAAATTTGAGTTATTGAGAAACAAATTGTTGAGTTTTACCCATGCCGATTTTCCAATACCCGTACATTGTATCATTATAATTGTCGAAGTTTGTATAAATGAATAAAGACCAGCGAACAGTAAGATAAATGTATATTGCTAGTGACAAGTGTTATGATAAATAAGAATAATAAGAATGGAATAGTATTGTGACCGTGCGGTCGAGATAGTTGAATGTTAGTTACGAATTGAGAATTGTGAATTGAATGTTATGTATGAGTTAAGAATTAAGAATGAATGCTACCCTGTGTTCCAAGGTGGGGGTGGCTCTGGCTCCCACCCTTACGGGTGGGGAGGGGTGAAACAGGTCCCCGCCAGAGGCTCTAACAATAATCAACATCCAATATGCAGTGCATCTTTTGTAAAAGTGTCCATAGGAATATTTCTATGTTAAATTTTATACCTCTTGTTAACTCATATTTGAGTAAAGATTCAGAGTGAAATTTTTATTGGAAGTAATGCGGGACATTTTTTTTCGATATTATTAAAAATTATGCTTTAAATTAAAGGATATTTCTTAAAAAATAAATTATTTGAGTATTTTTCTCGGTATATATTGTAGGCAGCCATATAAAAACAAAGATTTACCTGACATTTCTAAAATTTAATTACTCCCTTGATTATTGGTTTTTACTGACCGAAATTCGTCGACATACCGCAGTACACATTTAAAGAAAAAGGGGAAATTGTCACTGGAACATTAAAGGCTTTTTCACAAGAGATATGGTTCAAAATTTTGGTGGAGCATTTCCACGTCGTCCCATATCCAGCACAATTCAAAAATTTTATAGCAGAAGCACATTTTGTCTCGATCGTGGACATCAAAAACGCAATTTGAGTGACGTTATCTTTTATTTTCTTCATTCATGTTTGAATTTCAAGATTATGTTTCTTTTCTAAAAACTGCAATGAAGGTGTTTAATGATTAAATTAGATTTATGCTGTCAACAATGACAAGTCAAAACTTTCTATGATATACCTAAACTTTTTACAAAAGTAATGTTTACTTTTTAAAGCACAGATTAACAGTTTACTGCAAATAGCGGTAGTGGAAATTCGAACCCTGAGGCTATTTCCACCGTAAAAATAATTTCCGAGTTCTCACCTTAACAAAAGTTAACACGGGGTATAAATTTTAACATGGCAATCCTAATAGCCACTTTTAAAAAAAGATGCACTGTGTAATAAATACACAGAAGTAACCTAATTACTACGTGTAATTACCTGACGGTGAGAAACTTCAGCGCTCCGTGTCCCGTAAAAAATGACAAGAAAGTAGGTGAAGATTTGAAGCATTTAATTTTGTTACTTTCACAAATAAATCTACAATTTAAATAAGATTATAATGATGCGCGAATTTATGTAAACATAGTGAAACGAACTAAAAATTTTGTTTCATTAACTGTGAAATTTGAAGAAAGAAATCTAAAATTCTGACCTGGGTCAAAAGAATAAAGTATTTTATTCGATTTCATTTGGGGGGGGGGTTATCCGAAAATATTAATTGTTTGTGTGGTGGGGGAAATCGCCATCATTGATACTACGAGTATCATCCTAAGGAATTTGTGCACCTGTTCTATGAGAAATGGGCGTGTCTTAAATACTATGATATGTAGTAGTGGGTTACTATATTCTTGACGAGGTAAAGGACAACGACCGCATTGGTTTTCCCTATATAGTCTTCCAATCAAGTTCTAGTAATTACAGACCATAATGAAAAATATTTTGTAATGTCGCATACGTTATGGTAAAGAAATTTCATAACTGACAAGATTCCGGAGACTGCTGCTTCTTATTCTAACGGTTAACGAGTTCTAATTATTGCTTATCTTCTGTTCTGTAACAGTTTCCTATCTCATAAGTAATAAAACTAAATTTTTGTGTTTTTTACAGGATTTAGAATTTCATGGGGTTATGCGCTTTTATTTTCAAGACTGTGGTCAAAAGGTAGCTACAAAATGTATAAGGGTCGCTTCAGACGCCACTGTAGAAGACGTGATTGGAACGTTAGTAGAAAAATTCCGACCAGACATGAGAATGTTATCTGTCCCTTCCTATGCTCTCTACGAATTACACGAGGGATGCCCAGAAAGACGAATGCTTCCAGATGAAAAACCACTCCTAGTACAACTGAACTGGCACGTTGACGATCGAGAAGGAAGGTTTCTTCTGAAAAACATTGACGACAAAACGGTAAATTTTTTGAGATGTTTTCGAGAGCTAGAAAGTTATTTTTTTGCTTTTTAGGCAAACTCTGTTGGATCTCTTGACTCGAATGCGAGTTTTCGACGAAAATTATCGAAACGAGAAAAAAAGCAGCTAAAAAAGCAAGAAAAACTGTCGAGAATGAAAAGCGAAAATGGTGATATTAACGATAAAGAAGATGGAGTAGCTGAAAAGCTTTATACAGGTTTGAGTGTAAAGGTATTGTTGTCGTTTCATGCTGTAATAAAGTTGTTTTAGAATTACCTGAAACGTCATTTACGAGGTCAATATCGAATCCTGAAGCTGTGATGAGACGACGCAGGCAACAAAAGTTAGAAAAGAAATTGCAACAGTTTAGATCGAAAGATGGGGGACCCGATACAGGTAGGTTCAGTAAGAAGGGTGTACAATTTTTGTTGAGATGATTTGTTAGGAAGAGATTTGTTGAATCGTGTTTTGCGATAGTGGGATAGGTATTAGGAACAGGTGAAAAAATGTTGGGATGGGACGAAAATAGACGAATGAAACAATTAAAATAGAAAAAAAAAACATGAAAAACATAGAATACACATGGGAATTCGGAAAACTTAGGGTTTACGACAAAAAAAAAAGATTCAAATAACAATGTAATAGTTAAGGTTAAGAAGTGCGGAATAGAAGAATTAATAAGAAAATTCTTGGAACAGTGTGTAAGAGAGAAAAGGAAACAACATAATAGAAATGGGTATAAAAATTAGCGTTGAAGATTGAATCAGGAAAGATTGATGGGTGTACCGAAGCAACAGAGACAGACAGAGATATACATATACAAAACTCACTTAACATACACCTTGTAAAGCTTTTATAACTTAGCGGCTTAAGCCAAAGCACCTTTATAAGTCAAACTGGCTATTGTATAACTTAACTCAGTTCACATATACCTAGTAAAACTTTACAGCTCCATTATGGCAACAATGGACAGTAATAATCCTTGCGGTTAAGTCATAAAAGTTTTACAAGGTGTATGTCAAGGGAGTTTTGTATATGTACAGATGAATTACATTTTTGTCGCAAATTTTGCGAACTTATTAATTGAATCAAATCAGTGACAGTTTTCGTACAAGAACCCCGTTGGACGCTGGATTACACGGGCCTTCACTGGCGTCACCCCTTTTTTACGGAGAACCTCCCGATTAATTAAAAGCAATAGACTGCAGTTTCGACCTCTTTGGTCATATCAGTATAACATATTTCATTGGTTGTCTATATTCGAGAATATTTATTAACATTCAGTTTTTGCTTAAGGAAAAATTGAATGTTAATAAATAATAAATAATTGAATTTTCCTCATTACTGATCGACTAAATTGTTTATAGTTATCATAATTTTTTTTTAAACCGAAAATGTAAAGTTCTTGTATCTGGAAAAATTAAGAACGTAGTTTGTAATCCTTTGCTGTGTGTAGCAGTTAATTAGTTCATATTTTTCTCACTGGCTGCGATTTGTTGAATCATATGTTATTAGGTTTTTCCAGATTTGTAATTTGATAGTGTAATTAACTCTTTGTAGGATGTGGCGATTACTTGTTTAAACCCCACTTTTATATTAAGAAAAATATTCTCCGAGTTTAAAATATACTATTTTGTGATACTACAACACAGGTTTCGATACACACTGCCTTCATCAGGTAGATTCTAAAAAAATATTGAATAAAATAGAAAGTATTTTTCTTAATATAAAAGTGAATGTAATAAAAAATCTTACATCATTTTGTTATTTAACTAGCATATTTTCTGCTGCTGAATGTAGGCACTACTTCTTTTAATGTTGTTAGGTATCTAGCTGATGTGTGTATCGTATTAAACAGACAATTGATCACTTTTGCTTTAAAGCAATTAATACCAAAATTATGAACTGCGATGAACACCTCTTTATGATTATTTAAGGGCAGTTTATAGCTGCTACCGGGTAAGGCTTAAAACTGTTACAAATAAGTTGTTCATTTAAAAATATTCAATACATTTTGATTGATTGTACAGTGTACGTATATACAGTGCTTTCTTTTTAACGTTGGCCATAGGAGTTCGCTAAAAACTAGTCTAGTATTTTGTCGCATTTCATATGAAAATTCCTTCTAAAAAACTCGATATGACCCGAAGTTTTTCGTAACTAAATCCCTATGGCCAGCGTTAAAAAAAGGCAGTGTATTTTGTGTCTCCACGAATCTAATAACTTACGTTTGTCGATTTCTTTACATTGTTACAATTTATCACTTAGGTTGAGACGATGAATACAAAAACTGCATTCAATTAATTATTTTACCAACATCAGAAAACGAAAACATTTACCCAAATGGTTTATAATAAAATGAACAGCTAACTTGAAACTCAATTGGTGGAATGTTATATGTTCCAAGAGTAATTAGCCATAAAATTGACTAATAAAGAGAGGAGCACTAAACCTACACATGTGGTAAAACTTACGAAGTTTTAAAGCTACAAAGAGAATTATAACGTCAAATTAATTAAATTAAATATATAGACTAAAATTTGACGAGCGATCAGAAAATTGGGTTGTTTTTTTATTTTCCTGGGAATTTGTGTTTACTGTTGAAAGATTACATGGTAAACACTTTTCTCAACGGGATATTGAAATTTTCATAAGAATATATTCAATGAACTGTACTAGTTGGACGTGTTATATGAAAGGATTATGTTTACTTCCCGACCATTAACGTAAGGAGGTAATACTACTCTTATCGAGTCCATCGGGCGACTGGTTACTTCCATGTTTTGTCGACGTTCCATGACCCCTAGAGTACGAAAAATAGGTCACCCGTTTCAGTCTATCGTTAAAATTAGTTGCGTAAATTATGTGAAACAATTACATCCAAGCAAATGTACACTAAAAAAGGTATAAAATAGTCACGAATTAACTGTTTAAATTTATTTGAATGTGATAAATGGCGAAAATGTTAGTAAATGACCATGCCATCACATCGCCGATTTTGAAGTGTATCTGTATAATAGTTAATAAAAAATTTTGAGTCAACCTGGCACACTGTACTTGATTGTTCACTTAATAATTAACGTAAGCTAGAGAAATATTGTAATAGGGTAATTTCGGTGAAAGTTTTACCATATAATCTAGTTGTTGTACAAAATTAAAACTTGTAGGTAGAAATCAACAATTTATTTTAGAACATAACGACTTTTTTTTATTTTGCAAATCAGTAATATGAATTCAATGATTAGCAAATATCGATTAAATTTTATTATGTATTATAGTTTTATTATTCTTTTGTTCCATAAGTAAGAGTTGTATTATAAAACCCATACTATCGATGTTTTCGTATCTGCTATGTGCAACAGAGTGCCAAAGTGCTCCGTTTTGAAGGTGGAAAGTTTTATGTTTGATTTGTAGCATCTTTATTTCCATCCCTACTAAAAAACGGTTCATTTAATTTCTCCAAAATTCTCAGAACACAGTAACATTGATGGTTAAATTATGTAATAAATATATGTATAAGTTCAAATTAATGTGTATATTTCTATAAAAAATTAAAAGTAAATCTTTATTAAAAAATACGCTCTTATATTGATTGTGCTTGAGGAAAGGCCTGCCTAAAAATAAACCATCTTTTTTAATGTGTTTCCTAAGCACGTGGATCTGAGTTCATTGTGTATGCAACAAATATATATGTATTATTAAGCAGAATAAATTTGGAATAACATAATTTTTATTCACGTGACAAAAATTTCATGTACTTAGTAACTACCAATGCCTGTATTATATCTAGAGTTAATAATATGTAACTATTTATACGGAATTACCACCGCCTTTGAAACCTAAGAATCGTGTTAGTTGTAGTTAAAACGTGTTTTTGTATGTAAATAACTTTAGGTATTTTTCACTACTGGATTTGAGATTTTGATTTTTTAAATAATCTTTACTATACATCTCGAAATAAGTAAAATGTTGGCGAAATTAAATAAGTCGTTTTTGAGGTAATCGACAAAATAAATCAGTTCATGATTATGGATAAAAAAATAATGGCTAAATAACGTCGTCTTAGTATTACGATACGGTATGTGATAATTTGAATACATAAAGTGTGTTTTTGTTCCGTGTAGGTGGTACTCTCAAGATATATGGAGAAGCTTTGTGTAAAGATGTGCCTTATAAAACGTTATTGTTGTCCGTTCGAGATTGTGCTGGTGCTGTGGTAAGAGAAATGTTAGAAAAATATGGTCTCAACAAAACTGATCCAAGCCAGTGGTGCCTTGTACAAGTTACTCAGCAACCAGGATCACCCGATACCGAATACGTTTTAGATGACGACGAGTGTCCTCTGTCAATCCTGATGAATTCCCCAAACACGGGTAAGTTTTAATTATTCTTGAACCATTAATAACAATAATAATTAATGCTATAAATAAATATAATAATCTCTATACGAAAATATAATGCAGACACTATCTACTGCTTCTAGAATTCTAGAAAAAGAACGACAGTAGGTATAGACCTATTGTTCGATAGCAACAAAATGTATACTAAGAAATTAAATACGTACAAAATAAATATAGTTAAATTAATATACACATACACAGCAATTGTTTGTTAGGTAGCAAAAGATCCTACAATCTTTCTAAAATTTGTTTTTGATACGCAATTTCTGTTCGAATTGATTATTCACATCACTCGTAAATTGCTGTTGATAAGCGAAATTAATTGTGCATTGAGAAGAGATAAAAAAAGAGCGGATTCCAACGAGTAAACCGGCAAATCGTCAGTTCAATTGTGCACCTAAATAGCCCGTGTACGTTATTAATCTTCAGGTGGCTCAACGTTCGGTACAAAAAGGCGTTTTTCTTTCAGCGGCATCGATATTATACATTAGATAATAAGCTTTAATGATTATGATATTACAAACTCTTTTGTACACAAAATAATTTAGAAAAAACAATAATTATTAACGTACTTATCGTTAAGTAAGGTTTAGTTAATGAAACTGCAATCGAACCTTACTGCATGCAGCTGTGGCGGGTACCTATGGAGCACTTGAAGTTTACGCGCTGTAATCTGATTGTGTAATCACCATAAAATAACGCATGATTTTTTTCAAAACTGATTATCTTGTATGGTTGCTTAGATTAAAATATGTAGCGAGTAAGTTGTTTCGGGTGTTTCAGTATGATGTGCACACTATCGGCTGGCTACGGTCAGCCCCCGTAAATTAAGAATCCAGATATGCACACCATAGTAATTAAGTGAATATCCATGCTTACCCTGGTGCAAAGAATAATTATGACTGATGTTTTTGCGAAGACGACTATCAAATCATTGTTCACACTGTATGTCGTTTTTAATGTATGCCGGTAGTTATTTCTTATCTATATATAACAATGTAATTGGATGTTATTGAAGAAACAAAAATCAAAAACGGAAAATCAGAGCACTTGACTTCAAAAATATCTTAACTAGATTTACAAATTTTGAAGAGGATATTACAATTTACGATCCAGAAGGTAATTTGTTGAATTCAGTGAATTCTCTGCATTTTATTTACATCACTTAACATTTTGTAACCTTACTCAAAAGAATTAGAGTATTTTGTGCCTCATACAACCCTGAAGAATTTGAAAACGTGGATCAGAAAAGAGTATCTAATTTTAAATTAAAGTATATCAAGTATTCAAGGCGCAATTAGGTTTAGAAGGTGATAAACATGTTTTTTAAATTTGAATGATTAAGATTAATCATTAAATATACTATTCGTTTTTACGTTTTATATATACAAGCTAAGAAAGTATTGCAATAGGGTCCATCCAGTGAAAGGCTTTTTTATGTTCTCTCGACGTTTCATGACTCCTAAAATGCGAAAAAGTAGGTCTATACTCTTGGGTATGAAAAAAGTGGCTCGCCCGTTTCCGTCGGTCTGTCGCGTGTTGTCTCAGTCAATTTTTCTTAGAAGGATAATCTTTAAAACTGCTGGAGTGATTTTTTTTTGGAATACCGCGTAAATGGTAAAACATTTAGCAAAAATTGTTTGATCATCTCACCAATAATGTGATAATGTCACCTGCGTTTTACATAGTAATTTTTTTTAAATAACAGAGGTGTAGTTTTAATTTTTTAACATCCAGATTTTTTGCCTAGGTAAAAAATGTATACAATAATTTAACTTTGAAACTGCAATCATGAATGTTCTGAAAGCTTGCAAACTTTTAAGGTTATCATCGTAAGCATGCTAAATCGTTTGTATTTGTTAAACCCTTAAACCCTTCTATACTATGACTTTACACGACACGTGTAATTTATCAATGCATATTTTTATAGTTGCTTATACAGACAGGGTGACTCAAAAAAATAATGGATGTGGTAACTTATGTTATTGATCAAAACAAGAACGGCTCACCCCCCTTTTCCGAAATTTTGTTAATACGGTATCTACTGTTCTTAGTGTTATGGATGACGTTATCACAAAAATTATGTAATTGAAAAACTCATTGAAGCACACGCATATCATGCTTATTGAACTTTACTTTAACACTACATATGTAAGGCTGATGATAAAATAAATAAAATAGAATTCACATAATCTGTTACAATTTTTTGAAAAAGTTGTATATCTTGTATTGTACATACTTCAATGAAGATAGAAGTTCTGTCTTATTAACCTTAGACCAACTTTGGCTAATAATTAATTGGTATTAAAATAAAATTTAGAACATTCGGCGTCTATTATTTACCGTTCTGCTAAATGAGCAGCTTTTTCATCACTGAGAAAATGGTTGTAAAACACTTGTCCGTAACACAGTAGCTGGGCTAGTTTTAATTACACGACACATTAATTTACCATTGTAATTTTTATTGCAACACATAGAGAAATCTTCGTAAAATTTTCTCTCAAAATAATAGGTGGCGCAGCGATGAATAAACCTGTTCATAAAACTCACCTTTGATGCATTTATCGTCCGCATTTAAGCAGGACAGAAGTCAGAAGTCGACAGCACGTAACCGCGTCTTTCCTTTGCAAACTCATTATGAATTTTTGTCCGAAAAACTTTGATATAAGAAAAAAACGGATCTAGCTTTTGACGGTGTTTACTGCATTCGTATTCATTTCTTTTTCATCTCCTCTTTGTGTGGGTGAGGGGCTTTTGTGCTTGAAGTGGCGCATGCTTGGGTGCACACCGTACCTTCAGCGCGTCATTCTCGGCGAGACTTCGCCGCGAAAGCATGATTATATAGTTGCTTCGAGGACCAAAGATGGACAATATCGGTACCATTTCATGTAACCGGGGCCAATCCGGCGTGAGTCCGGTTCTTCCGGGCAGTGATTTCGGTGTTCTTACAGTGATCCGGTCCTGAAACGCTGCGCTTCGTTCCGGAACATGGTAGTCTTCGTTGAAAGATGATGGACTGGGGCATCAGACGTACGTATTCTGTGCTTTGTACTTTGTTGTTAGCTGCATGAGCGGCTCGGCCAAGCAAACTAGTTTTCTTATCCGCTGCGCCTGATTTATCGAGTTGATTTTTCGAAAACAAGTCACGCGCGATCTTACAAGCTAGAGATTATGGATTTAGAATTTAATTCAAGATGAAATTTCGTACCTTGGTTTTATTTCCTGTTAAAAGATTTCGGATAATGTTAACAATGCAACCAACCTGTTGTGGTTTCTTAATGATTGATGGGTTTGTTTTCACATGTGGTGTTGTCTCGGTTTCCGTTTATTTTAAAGGTCGAGTTTAAATATAAAATTAGTTCTTTTTTTAATCGTCAGTAATATACTGTGGTCGCAATTATGCAGGGTTGCTGATATTTCGAAGTTAAAAAATATTTTTGGTGAGGATATTCAGATTGTGTAAAAGAAATAAAAAAAAGAATAAAATAAAAATGACGCTTTGAACGCCTGGGAGAACTTTGGGGTTATTTTGTCCTGTTGCGTTAAAAGTTAATGGTGAATAGAGAAAGAAACATTATTTCCGTCCGGTTCAAAAGGAAAAGGTATATTACATTTCCTTTCCCGGCGTCAGAAAAATAGAATAAACTTTGATTAACGTAATTATTGTGTCAGCAGTTCATATCATTAGGAGTTTCTTTGCTTAAGTCGTTTAATATTGTCAACAGCACTGGTGCCTAAGATGAAAATTATGAAGAACATCGAATGTATATTAAATTATTAAATCTATCATCGATTGATGGCGAGAATCTTTACGTTCAACAAGATAGAAAGAACGTTATTCTACGTTGACATTTTCAAATTTCAAAGGTTATGACATCAAACCACGCGGAGAACATCGATACTTCTATTTTAATAGCTCTTTATGATTATGAATGTAGTTTAAACAATCTTTAAAAATTCGGTGTCTAGATAAATACGTTTGAATAAGAATTTGCAATCCAGAAAGACAAAAACTAATTTTAAATTAATTACTTTTGTAACTAAAAATGTCAGGTCCTTCATATTTTTAATTAAATACTGTTTGTCCAAAACTACTGGGGGCGCCACTTCAATCTTACGATTTAGGACATTGACCAAAGTCGGTAATGATAAATTGGTAGAGTTACGTAAATGATGTTCTGTATTTTAAGAATTATGCGGTGTTTGCGAACATTTTTACGAGAAATTGAAGGACGTTTACCTCGTATTATTATAATTTTTTTATTGCCACTAACTCATTAGAACATAATTATATAGGTAAAACAACTAAAAATAAAAGGGTCGGGCGCTCCTTATCTTTTTTAGTACAAACACCAATGTTACTTATGGAAGTTGAAAATAAGAAAATTTACCCAAATTGGTAAGAGCCTGAATTGGAAAAAATTCACACTTTACTGTTTCGCCTGCTTTTGCTCAGATTTAATTTAGCTTATAGGCTTATACAATCTAGTTATTTGAATTCAAAACAATGTAACAATTTATTTTTAATGTTTTTTAATATCTAATTAAGCAGCTTGAAAAATTATATTATTTACAAAACAAGTCTTATTAGTCGACATTGTAACGAAATTATGAAAGTTCATGCAAACGAAAACTGAGTCACTATTTTCAAGTATAAATTGTTTGAAATGGAAAAATCAACAACATTGGAACCGATCACCTAAATGTCATAACAATAAAATATTTGATGGCGATAATTGCTGGTTATTTTTAATAAAGCAAGTTTTTAATTAAATGTCTCATAAATTTTAAAAATTGATTCTAAACATGAAAAATGTTCCAGTTTGATCACCATTTGCTATAGTTGTCGTGGGTTTGTGTGGGTTTTGAAAAATTTGAGCGAGATTAACTGCATTGCAACAACATTACAAACAACGGTTAATTAACAATTAACCATAAATACAAAGCTACTAAGCCTAACAATCGTTAAGCCG